GTTAAGAGCAAGCCATTCCTTGGTTTTATTTAACTGCTGCAATCACATTATTACTCAGTAGTAAGGCTGTGTCTACATTTCTTTCGTAAACCAGAAGTAATTTTAGGGCTATTTAGGCATTTTTCTATGCTCCACCAAGTTCTCCACGCACTGAAATCATTCCCCCAGGAAAGTGACCTTCTCAGTAAGAAACTTGATCGTATGGGTATCAAATGACCTGAAAAGATCTTTCAGCAGTTTGGTCAGGATAACATTAATAATCCAGCCCACAGGAGAATATTATGTACCAAAGCCCGTGTGAATTTGACGAGTGTGCACTGCAAAGGAACTGACATGCCCCCAACGTTGTTCCCCAAACAGTAAATCAACGAATTCCGACCAACGTCTCCAGAACCACGAGCTGTCAGGTGGAAAGACTCTTCACCAACTTCCTCCAAAAGCTGCAATTCTGTATTTAGCATAAAATGTTGTCAGCATCTTCTCACCCTAGAACTGAAACTACTCAAACATGTAAGAAATTTGTTCTATTGTGCTCTTTTATCATATCCAAGTAGGTACCAGAGCAGCTACAAGTACCACACTACCAAAACATATCAAGGAATCTACATTCCAATACATAATAGTACATTGAACTGAAAAACTGCTACACACAGTGCTTTGAAACAGTCTGAAGAACTTAAATTTGACATATAAGTTACAGCTCTGGAAAACGGAATTTTGTTTTACTGTAATCAGCACTTTTGTTTGAAATATAACTCACACCTCCTAAATATATACTCATAAGTCACCTCAAAACCCTATGTATTCATAGGAGTTACAATGCCCTATCATTAGTTGTTCTAAGCTGATAAAAGACTAATGGAATGTCAAGTCAGCAATTCAACCAATACGAGCTATATGTTTTATAGTCAAGGCTGCCATAAGAGCAATGTCCTGTACAAAAACCTCCTACATAAAATTGCCCGTGGAAGACACCAGTTTCTGAAAACGAGGCTATGTTGTAAAAATAACTGTAGACCTATAGCTAAGGAAACTACCTGATGCTGAAACATTGAGCTTTGAAAAAAGAAAAATCTTCGAGACCCAGCAAAGCCTCGCATATCTAACTTTCACCCTCTCAGCATGGATCAGCAGAATGACCTTTCTTGATGCGAACGGGATTTTTTTTTTTTTTAAAAAAAAACATTAATTGCCCTACATATGTCAGTAGTGCAGGCTCAGTAGTCTTCAAAAGATTATCCGGAAGTGTCACCACCTATAGTATACTTTTTAGCAGGAATAAACAGAGTATTTTCTCTAATGGGAAGTTACTGCAGGGAAGAGTAAGACAAGTTTTTGCTCTATCCCCACCTTATGGCTAGAAAAAGAATTTTCCTATTACAGCATACATATTTCTGAATTTTTTCCCTTTACTGTATCACTATAGCCAGAGAGTATTTACTATTTGTATCATGCAAATTAAGATTCTTTTTAGCAACCATGCATTCCTCCACATATAAGCACAATGAAACTCCAAGGCAGAAATCTCTCTAGCACCTGTGTTGATTTTCTGAATCAAAACAGCGGACTTAATGATCCAACGTAACTTCAGATAGAAAAGTGATTATTTGGGCCCTGATCCACAAAAGTATACAAGTTCATGTATTCCTTTTGACTCCATTAGGAGTTAAACAGCTAGATCTCTCCATAGATATAACCTTCACTGACACATCATTCTTAACATTCTCACTTTTTTAAACAGTTTTAAACCTAGTAATGAGGTGACTCATATCACTCAAAATATTAAACGTACATGCCCTACCAATTAAGACAAAGGTATGCATGAACCTAGTTTTAAAGCTTTCACATTTATCCTCTCTTCTCTTGTGAGCAAAACGATGTGACCAAGAGAGCTAGAACAGTGCATACTGCTCATGAGAAGAGGTACTCAAGCTGGCAAAGAGCAGACCCTCTTTCATCAGTCACTCCATACATGGGATGAAACAAAAACAGCAGCAGCACCACCCCACAAGGGAAAACACTCTCTTCCCTCAGTCACCTTGCTTATCAATCAACATTGTTCTTCTTTTGTGCCTTAATCACCTGTGATACCACTCATTGGCCCAGGGACTAACATTAGCTACGTGAAATCCTGAAAACCAAGACAAGGGCCACCACAAGTACTTTTGCCAAATTCTTCTATTTTTTCATTTTGACTTTTTCCTCATTTATTGATTGTCATAGTGAAAGGGCAGGGTAGGACATGAAACAGAAGAACACTGGGAAAGCTGCAAAGAGAGGAAAGAGAATGGAAAAACTGGATAATGTCTTAGTGTGCCTTTAATTTTTTAGGCCTTCTATCCTGCTTTCCTGAGGAAACAAAAAAGTCATAATTGTATTGTCTGAGCACCTCTCCTTCCCAAAATCTCTTGAATTTTACCTTTAAAACCAGAGGAAATTCAACAGAGAGTTGATAGGCTCAACCATTTCTGAATCCTAAATTTCTCAAGTTTTCATGAAAACAGTTGAATAGAAGAGACACCTTATTAATGCTTTAGCATGGCTCTTGCCTCAATAATCCTTGCCTTTTTCCTCCTAATGGCAGAGAATCAACACAGGAATTCAAATAAGAGAACCCAACTTCATTAGGCCTTCTACCACAGATCTAGTTTAAAAAGATATTTTCTAGAACTACGTGCTTCGATGTTTTGTGATGAAATAGAGATTTGTCAGAAAATAGATTATATTCTCCAAGGTTATATTAGTTGGAAGTGTCCATGAGTATTTAGGTAACACTGCTGTAAGAGTTTTGATTTTAAGAATCCAGTAAGGAGTACCAGGTAGAGAAGAGACCCTATGCATATACACAAAGGAGTACAGAAGAGCTGCCAAATATGAATATAATTAACCTTATGATGAACATTCAAGAAGAAAATACTAGAAAAACATAACAGCATTGTATATTTCTGAATGCTTTAACCACACTGCATCAACCACATCAATTTTCAGAAGGCATTTATTTAAAGTTTAAGAGTGAAACCTGAATGCCTGCCAAGCTATTTGGGTCTTCTGAATACCTGCCTGCTTCAGCTATCACAAAACATTCAGAAAGTACTGGCAACCTAGTGATAGGACACTCTCTGACTCAACTTCTCAGGGCTTAGAGGAAAAAGTCCCTCTCCTATTAAAGAAAGGGACCTTCTTAGCCATGAATACAGGCCAAAACCACTGTATAAAATATTTTAGAAGAATGCTGGTGGCTGGTTTTAACCCTTCCTTGCCTCCCTTCCCCAATGGTAGCTGATCATCCATCTACTACACGAGAAAGAGCACATTTCACTAAGCTTAGAGCAGATCTTGCTCCTAGTCAACTCAAAAAAAGAAACGCTTAAAGCAGACGTCACAAGTTCCAAAAGAAGCTACAGCACCCAAACAACTGTACAATGAGGAAAGGGAATGTGGTTATATAAGACTATAAGAATATACTTCCAGGAAAAAATAAGAGAAAATATCTCTAAATAAGGAAAATCTAATGTTGCAATAATATCGTTAAATCACATACAGTAATTATAAAGAAAAACATAAATACCTAGTCAGATCTCCTTACTCCTGAGAACGCATTTCAGATTATTAGGTCCAAACATCCTCTACACATGTTTGTTCTCAGCTGTCTTTGTGGATTCCAAGGGAGTAAGAGAAGAAAATGTAGAATAAGGAATCTAGTCAACCTTACAAGAAGTAGACTGAACTAAGCCCTATACGTTAAGTAAAGCAGAAGTCATCCGTTGTTTCTGCATACTGTAAAAGGACGACTTTTAAAAATCCTGTACAACCTGTGAAAAGTACATAGACATAATACGAAACATGAAGTTCTGGCACTGCTTCAGTTTCCTTAGACTACGAAAATATTCATAAAATGCAATTTTTTTTTCTTTGCTGAGCTTCTGGAATATACTCAGTAACATGTTAAACAAAATTAAAACACTCAATACATAACATTTTCAAAAATTCTTTATTTCAAGAATAGCTCACTGTGCATATGAAGGATCAGCTACCACATAATCCAAAAAACTCTATTATCAGCTCAAATCGTAAGATGCAAATATATCTCTATTAAAGGATTTATTAAGCAGTGTTCTGCAATTCCACAGATTATGAATAGAATACGATTTTAATTTAAGAAGATATTTTTATATAATATACATTTCCAGACTTCCGGCAGGTTAGGATAACACTCATACGGGGGGGGGGGGGGG